GCATTTCCGTAATTTTTTTTTTTTTTGGGATACAAAACTACCCTTAACTTAAACTTTAAAAAAGGAAAAGCAAGGAAAATCCTGCAAGTACCAAGAAGTGAAAGTTTGCCCCTATGATAAATTAAAACTGAGGTTAAATTTTACTTTTATCAGCCTAACATCTGCAACAAACTTTAATCTGGTTTTCATATATAATTTTAAATAATAGCTTCTTTTTTTCCTTAGTTTCCTTTTAGGATATGACCATGCAAGTCTCACTTCACTGTGGATAATAGTATTATCTTACTGCTTTAGCCCACATATTTACCTGGTTTCACTTTTGTTATCCCCGCCAAGAAGTATGTTATTACTTCAAATTATACTTTAATTGGGTAGATAAAGAAATAAAGCTTTCCTTTTCTTGTGGATCTAGATTCAACTATACAAACATATGTTGAAGTTATGAGAAGCCCCTGCATAGGATTAAAGCGGTCAAACTCACCATGACGAGGGTAAAACCTTTGAAGGCAGTCGGGGAGTTTTGTGAAGAGATAAACATGGCGGTCCTTGGTCGAAAAACACACAAAATTAGAGAGTTAAAAAGAAACAATGGGGTTTTAATGTAGGTAAAGAAGAAAAACTATTGTTTCTGAGCAAGTTTCCATTCAAGCTTCATGCCTGCTAGATGTTATGGTCCTTTTAGAAGCCAACTCTCCGTCGATTAATGATGACGTAGAGGAAGACCTTCAAATGCCTGAAGTAAAGGCAACAAAATTAAAACTTTTCTCAACAACAACAGCTGAATTATCGTCGAAACAGTGTGTTGCTTCTTTATTTTTTATCAGTTGAACAATAAGCTTAATATCAACCGGTTCTTTCTTTTATTTTATTTTCTTTCTAACCAGAGGCTGTGTCTGGTGTTCACAATAGAAATAATAGCCTCCTCATTAAAGTTTTTTATTTTTATTTATTTTTTGTTTTGTGGGAGCATTTATATATAGCATCCCGATCCACACTCCATTCTAGTAGATGGCGGTAATGCGCATCAATAAGTTGCTTGCCAACTGCAATTAAAAAAAGAAGAAGAACGTTTTTAAATTAACAGTTAATGATCCAATAAATTTGCATGTTCATAATCATGTTGATATGCACGTTTTTTCCTCTAAAATGCACACGTTTATTCGCGTAAATTGGCTACATTTTCCCTCTAAATTTGCATTTTCATCGTCTCAACGTGCAGGTTTCTTTCTTGGAAGTTTTCTACTTTATCCATTTTAAAATAGCATCTTTATAAACTCGTCAATTTGCATGTTTTTTTCCCTGTATATGTGCCTGTTTATTATAGTACATTTGCTACTTGTTTCCTTCTAAATTTGCATGTTTATAATTTCGTACATGTTACCGCCCCCCCCTTTTGTAAGGAGGAGGGGAGTAACGCGACAACCACAAAAATTGACAGAGTCCAGGTGAATGTTTTAAAAGACATAGGGATTTATTAACAACAAAAATCCCAGAAGGCTTGTACACACTGTGGGGGAGAAAGGGACGGTTAGGTGGTGCCAAATCAAAGAAAATAATAAAACAAAACAGGGCCTAACTACCATCTATTCTACAGAAAAGAAAATAGAAAACAAAAACCCTGCCTATCTAATCTAACAAAGGAGTCCAACAAAACTTTACATGGGCGGCACCCACCTGCTTACCTAGTGTGTCTAACATAAAACACCTGCGTGATGAAATGTACAGGGTACCCCAAACTTACCTCGCCCACTAATCTCCCACCACAAACCTTCAAACAAACAAGACGTGTGTCAGCGTAACAGAGCCAGTTGGAGAGAAAGGCCGAGAGCCCTAGAGAGACCCCAGCTGGGCTTCTTAAATACAGCCTCCCTAGATGTGGATTGGTCCTCGTCAACCATGGCCCAATCAGGGGAGATTGATGCCAGCTTTCATTACTTCCACACTACCTGTGAAGACAAACAAAAAGGGGGAGGGGAAGGAGAAACAAACAGCCTGGCAGGCATGTAACACCCCCACCCTTACAAGTCCAAACAAAATGTTTGGAATACTCAAAGTAAACCAGTCAAAATGCACGTGATAAAGCATCTGCCAACACATTCTCTGATCCCTTTTTATGACAGATCTTGAGGTTGTATTCCTGCATGATCAAAGCCCACCGCATAAGTCTTTGATTTTGATTGTACATCCTGGAAAGAAAGACAAGTGGGTTATGGTCTGTGAAGACAGTGATGGGTTCCACACTCAAGCCAAGATAAGCTTCAAAATGTTGTAATGCCAAGAGTAGAGCAAGCGCTTCCTTCTTAATGGTAGAATATCTACTTTGATGAGGATTAAACTTCCTTGAGAAGTAGCTCACAGGATGCTCTATGCCGTCTTTATCATCCTGTAGAAGGACAGCTCCTACCCCAACAGCACTGGCATCTATGTCCAGTTTAAATGGCAGACTGAAATCTGGGGCAGAAAGAACAGGAGAACATGAGAGCAATCCTTTTAGATGTTCAAAAGCATGCTGACATTCATCAGACCAAGTAAAGGGTTTAGATGGGCTGGTCAAGGTAGTCAAAGGAGCAGCTACCATAGAAAAGTTTTTGCAAAAACGACGGTAGAATCCTGCCATTCCCAAGAATCGACGGAGTTCCCTTCTGCTTGAAGGAACTGGAAAGTCAGAAATGACCTTAACTTTTGCATCCACAGGACACACTTTTCCTCCTCCAACCTGTTGGCCAAGATAGAGAATGGTACCTTTACCAAACTCACAATTTGACAGATTGAGGGTCAATGAGGCAGCCGAAAGACGTTTGAAAACCTCACGCAAAACCGCAAGATGGTTAGACCAGTCATTTGAGTATACCACAATGTCGTCTAGATATACTCGGCAATTTGGCACATCTCCCAGTACTTTATTTACAAGCCTTTGGAACGTAGCCGGAGCATTACATAGCCCGAAAGGCATCACAGTGTACTGGAGAAAACAGTCCGGCGTAACAAAAGCTGAGATGTCAGAGGCCTGTTGTGTTAGAGGTACCTGCCAATACCCTTTTAGCATGTCAAGTTTAGTGACAAACTTTGCTGGTCCTATCTCATCAATACAGTCTTCAATGAGGGGCAACGGGTGTGCATCAAGGACTGTTACAGCATTCACCTTACGAAAGTCTGTGCAGAACCTTGGACTTCCATCAGCCTTCATGTCTAATAGACATGGAGAACTCCATGGGCTGCAACTCTGAATGGCAAGTCCATTTTTAACAAGGTACTCCACTTCCTTCTTCATGACCTCCCTTTTAGTGGGATTGACACGGTATGCCCTCTGCTTTATAGGCTTAGGATTGGCAAGAACAATGTCACGAGACACCACATTAGTCTTGGTAGGAACATCCCCAAACAGACATTTGAAGTCTGATTTGAGTTTTGTGATGTCCTCCACTTTGTCATCGGATAAATGTGACAGATAGTCAGGCAGGCTAGCTAGTATTTCACTGTTACTAAGCCTTGCAACTTGTGGTGGTTCTTTGCGTGTTACCATATCCTCAGCTAACTTTGAAACACAGGTTACAGGGGCAACATCTTCAACCTGCCTCTGGGTTGGATGGTCAGTCCCCCTGGAATGATACAGTTTCATCATGTTGACATGACAAAGCCTGGTCTTACGACGGCGATCAGGAGTTTGAATAATGTAGTTGGTTTCACTAAGTTTCTTTTCTACCACATATGGTCCAGAGAACTTTGTTTCCAAAGAAGAACCAGGAATGGGTAGCAAGATCAAAACTTTATCACCGGGGCGAAACTCACGAATAACTGCTTTCCTGTCATAATGTTGCTTCATTTTGACCTGCTTGGAAGTCAAGGCATTCCGCGCAAGAGCACAAGCTGCCTGAAGGCGCTCTCTCATCTTTGACACATATGCTGGAATACTTTTTACAGAGTGAGAGGGTGAGGTTAGTTTGTCTTTAAGGACATTTAGAGGTCCCCTAACCTCATGTCCAAACACAAGTTCAGCAGGACTACAACCTAAAGTGTCTTGCATTGTTCCACGCACAGCAAACAGCAGATATGGGATACCTTCATCCCAGTCCCTCTCTGTATCCATACAGTATTTCCTCAGCATTGCCTTCAATGTCTGGTGAAACCTTTCAAGTGCACCTTGGCTTTCAGGGTGGTAAGCGCTTGAGGTGACATGCTCCACACCCAACTGTTTTAGTGCCTGGGCAAAGGTTCTAGACTTAAAGTTTGTACCCTGGTCAGTTTGGACAACCTTGGGAAGCCCGAATAATGAAAAAAACTTTACCAGAGCTTTTGTGACCATGGGAGCTGTAATCCTCCGTAGGGGCACAGCCTCAGGAAACCTGGTGGAAGCACACATCATTGTCAAGATGAACTGGTTTCCACTTCTTGACTTCGGCAAAGGCCCTACACAGTCTACAATCACCCTTTCAAATGGTTCACCCATGACTGGATTTGGGAACAAGGGAGCAGGAGGTATAACCTGGTTTGGCTTTCCTGCAACTTGGCAAACATGGCAGGTACGACAATAAAGTGAAACATCAGATTTCAAACCTGGCCAAAAGAAGTGTTTGAGAATTTTGTTATAAGTTTTATTTATACCAAGATGTCCTGACAGTGGGTGATCGTGTGCTAATGCTAGCACTTGACTGCGGTACCTTGTTGGTACAACCACCTGATAAATGGCACTCCAGTCTTCTAGGTTTTCACCAGCCCAGCGTCGCAACAGAAGACCATCAAGAAGCATATATGCCACCTTCTTCCCCTGGGCTTCCTCCTGGGTAAGAACAGAAGAACGACATTTCAACAGAGTCATGTCCTGTTTTTGTGCAGTGATGAATTCCTCTCTGGAAGCTGGTAATTGCATCGTCTCTGGACCTGGAAGAGGAACTACATTTTCAGATTTTTTAAGTTCAGTCTCTGATCCGGCAGTTGGAGTCTGCTCTGTAGCAAGAAAAGAGTCAGACAAATCAAGACTGTATTTCTTCGCCTGGGCCAGCGTAACCACACAAGCAGGGAAAATGTCAGACTTTGGTTCAAAATTCACGCTTACGTCAGGTGTGTCCAACACCTCAGGAACAGGCAATACCTTTCCACCAGCCAAGTCATTCCCCAGAATGAGATCAATCCCCCTTATGGGCAAGGTGGGAAGAACAGCAACCCTGCAAAAACCACTCACAAGAGATGAGTTAAGGTGGATATTATGCAGTGGTGCTGATACAAAAGTCATTCCAATACCTTGGACAACCACTTTGGGCTGACAAGATGACCCGACAGGCAAAGACAAAATACCCTCCCGAATGATTGTTTGGGAACCGCCTGTGTCCCTCAGTATTTTGACTTGTCGGCCATCTTTTGGATCCCCTGTTAAAGAAACAAGACCCTGGGTAACAAAGGGTATGAAACAGGGATCTAGTTCATTCTCATTTTTAACAGTCTGATTGCTGGAGTGCAACACATTTTTAAGCAACCCAACACCTTTTGTCTGTGTTGCCAAAGCCTTGCTCTTTAATGACAGACAGTCAGCAATAACATGGCCTTTTTTATGACAGTAAAAGCACTCCCTTACCTCACGTGGAGAAACAGGTGTTTGCTTGGCCTTAGCTTCTGACTGAGTGGGGTCAGGTTTTTGTTGACGAATGTTCAAAACTTTATCTGCACGAGGTACAGACACAAATACATTCTTGTGGGTCAACATAAACTCATCAGCGACAATTGCTGCTTTAGACAAAGAGGCCACCTTCTGCTCATTCAAGAAAACTACTAGTCTCTCAGGCAATGTGTTCTTGAAGTCTTCCAACAAAATTAGTTGGCGAAGGGATTCAAAGTTACCTTTAACCTCACTGGCAGCACACCATTTATCAAAAAGTAGTCCCTTCTCACGTGCAAACTCCACATAGGTCTGGCCACCAGACCTCTTGTGGTTCCTGAATTTTTGCCTGTAAGCTTCAGGTACAAGTTCATAAGCACGCAAGACTGACTTTTTCAGTACATCATAGTCCATGCCATCCTCTGTTGACAGCGATGAAACAACCTCCTGTGCTTTACCTATGAGCTTACACTGCAACAGCACGGCCCACATCTCCTTTGGCCACTCTAGTGCTATAGCAATCCTCTCAAATGCATTGAAGTACGAGTCCACTTCTGACTCTCTAAACACAGGCACCAAAGCAATATTCTTGCTGACATCAAACTTGTTTTTGTCTGACACCACCTGTGGAGAATCAGAGTACACAGATGAACGAGGAGGTGCGTTGCTACGTGAAAGCCTCATAGCTTCTACCTCCAGCTGTTTTAGCTTAATCTCCTTTTCAGCTTCAAGTTCCAACCTGCGCATTTCAAGTTTGAAATCAAACTCAGCTTTTCTTACCAACTCCCTCTCCTGTGCCTCCAGCTGTAGGCGAGCCAGCCGAACCTTGAGTTTGACACTACCACTGGAGCCACTGAGCTCTGGTGACACCGGATTGAACCGTGGTAAAGTCGCAGGGGCCGCCTGTGGCTCTGCCAACCCCTTTGGGGGAGTTGCCATTACAGCAGCTCCTTCATCTTTTGACGAAGGGAGTCCTAGATCAACAGAAGGATGATCACAAACATCTATATCCATTTTACTCGAGTCCGCTAGGACTTTAATTTCAATCAGTTTTTGAACAACAATGTTTTTGATTTCAGCTTTTGAAAAAAAATTTTTCACTGAAATGTCAAAATGCTCAGCCAAACATAACAAGTCGTCCTTACGACACAGTTCCAGCTGTTCGTGGCTAGGAGCCTGTACGAACTCCTCTAAGCTGAAGCTAATTTCTGAACAGACACAAGGATCTCTCAAATTAATGTGGATGTCTACAGCTCAGGGAAAATTATCCCGGACAAGCCCCCACTTGTTACCGCCCCCCCTTTTGTAAGGAGGAGGGGAGTAACGCGACAACCACAAAAATTGACAGAGTCCAGGTGAATGTTTTAAAAGACATAGGGATTTATTAACAACAAAAATCCCAGAAGGCTTGTACACACTGTGGGGGAGAAAGGGACGGTTAGGTGGTGCCAAATCAAAGAAAATAATAAAACAAAACAGGGCCTAACTACCATCTATTCTACAGAAAAGAAAATAGAAAACAAAAACCCTGCCTATCTAATCTAACAAAGGAGTCCAACAAAACTTTACATGGGCGGCACCCACCTGCTTACCTAGTGTGTCTAACATAAAACACCTGCGTGATGAAATGTACAGGGTACCCCAAACTTACCTCGCCCACTAATCTCCCACCACAAACCTTCAAACAAACAAGACGTGTGTCAGCGTAACAGAGCCAGTTGGAGAGAAAGGCCGAGAGCCCTAGAGAGACCCCAGCTCCCCAGCTGGGCTTCTTAAATACAGCCTCCCTAGATGTGGATTGGTCCTCGTCAACCATGGCCCAATCAGGGGAGATTGATGCCAGCTTTCATTACTTCCACACTACCTGTGAAGACAAACAAAAAGGGGGAGGGGAAGGAGAAACAAACAGCCTGGCAGGCATGTAACAGTACACTTTGGTGTTTTTACTGGTAAATTTGCCTGTTTATTCTCGTAAATATGCCACTTTAAATTTTAATAATTTTTTTCCCCCCTCGTTGAATGGAGAGAAATGGCCCTAATACGCCATTGTATTAATTATAAATTACCAGGAAAAACAAAAAAACCTTACAAATGGTGAATCCACACATCATTTTTCAGCCGTCTAGGCAAACGAAGCGTGAATAAAGCAGAAAAAAGCAGAACACCAACTATACAAACTGATAATAAAGTTTGTCTAAGTCAGTTATACCAATTTTTCCGTCATATTTGACAGAGGCAAGCAGATCAACTGGGCTGCAAATAACAAGATTAACAGCAACACTTAAAACTGAGAAAATCCAACAAGTGCTGCTGGAAATTAAAATGTAATAAAAATCTTCTGTGTTTTGTTTATAATTCATTCAGACTGATATGTTTGGTTATAAAAAAAAAAACAAAAAAACCCCCAACAACACACAATTTCTGTCAAAGCAAGCCTTAAGAATTCTAAACGAAATGAATGCAATGCATTACCAAGCGATATTCACCAAGCACCATTTCCACATTACAACATGGAGGTGGCTGAATCATGCTCTGGAGTTACCTTTTTCAGATGGATCTAGGAAATTTTTTATCAAGGTTTATGAACCCATGAACCCTTCCATAAATAAAAAAAAAATCCAGAAATATTAAAAGATAAAACTATTTTCATATTTTATTCTTAAAATACATATTATTTGTACTTTCAAACAAGTTGGTTTCATCAACTTAATCATTTTTTGTCCCCACACTCAGTTATGAAGGGCAAGGGCTGCATTTTGAGTTTAAAATATGATTTTCTACCATTCAAAAATGCTAAAATCTATAAACTATGAAATTTATGATATAAATGACATTGAAACAATGCTGACTCAATATTATTAAATATACTCGAAAGTAGCTGTCCCCTTAACACTTAACTTCCTCTGAGCTCTTTCTTGAAGATCTATGAAGCAGGGACATATTAAGAACACTGACTATTTCAGAAATATAAACATTTATTTTATAATGTCAAATTAAGCTTTTTAATTACCCCACTGCTGTGACCCACTTTATTGGGAGAAAAATGCAAACATATTGAAACAAAGGTATTAAGCTTCATAACTGAGTGACTAGATCTAAACAGACATGTGGTTTCAAGCTCTATATGGACATTTTGTAAAATACAATTTTCCTTAAAACAAATTGATTTGCCTTTGTTATGGGTAACATCAGTTACTCTACATGTGCAGATACAATTTATTTATGACTTAAGTGGTGTATATAGAGTAATTTTTTTGTTTGTTTTTTTAATTAAAAACAATTCATTACATTATAGTCTAAATTTAAATGTTAGAAAGAGAAATAAAAATCACAACATTTTTCCATCCCATAAGTGGCTGTTGCTGTTTTTTTTTGAAACCTTACATAATGATAACATTTTAAATTAACTTGTTTTCCAAATAAAAAATAAAGCTTTATTTAAATAATTAAAAAAACTTTAAGATGCTGCTATATCCCTTGTCCTGTGACAAAAACAAGACACAAAGAAAGAAATGTTATATTTAACAATGGTTTTAATCTAACAAAACTTGGAACACCATATCAATAATTGTAGATACACTAAATTCACATTGCAGGCAAAATGCTATGCATTAAAACATTACAATTAGGTTTTTTATATATATAAAATTAAAATTAACTTTTGAATTATAGCAAAATTACTGTATCTGCTCTGCTATTCTGCCAGGTATTTTTCAGGGTAGTGATGGGCTGGTGGTTAGGGTATGGAGCTTGGAATCCTGAGGTTCTGATTTCGAGCCCCAATCCCACAGATTACCACTCTGGCTCTCTGAGGAAAGACCCTTAACCCCCACACTGCTCCCCGGGTGTCACACAATGGCAGCCCACTGCTCCCTAAGGGGATGGATTAAATGCATTTCATTGTTCTGTAATTGTGACAGTGTAATGACAATAAAAAAATAAAATGGAAAAACTGGAAACAACAAGGCTTAAACTAACAGCATGTTGTGGTTGTAGCTCAAACTTTACAAGAATTGATGTTTAAGTATGAAAGTTGTAAATAATAGGCACAAACAAAATAATGCTCTTGACCTTGTCGACAGAAGAAAACTTTATTTTGGTTTGACTTCACTGGGAAGAGGTAGGCCTTTCACTCCTGCCAAAGCATTGTCTACCATCAGCTGCACCATCTTTCTTATTGTTGCATTAGTGTTTGTCCCAATATGGGGTGTTATCAGCACATTAGGAAGGCTGAGGAGAGGATGATCCCTGCACAAATTGAGATTCAATGTTAATATTTGCACATTTTAATCAACTGATTGTAATACAGAAATTAACACTGATGCGTAAGCAAAAGAAGATGGTGTGTCTGAGAGCATACCTGGGTAAAGGTTCAGGGTGAGTCACGTCTAAGGCTGCAGCTCGGATGGTTCCAGACTTCAGAGCTTTGGCCAGAGCGTCCTGATCCACAACCAGACCTGAAACATTTAATAATTTAATAAAAAAAGGGCTTTTGAATAAAACTCAATGAAAAAAAAGAGCTTTCCTCATACCTCTGCTGACGTTTACGAGTGTTGCTGTGGGTTTCATGAGTGACAGCTCTCTATGGCTGATAAGACCAGTGGTGTCAGGGGTCAGGTTCACCACCACCACCACGAAGTCAGACTCTTTCAACAGGTCAGCAAGTTTCTCACAGTAACTTGCTCCAACTGCCTGCTCATCTTCAACACTCCTAGAAAAACAGAAATCTTACCACGTGATCCCTCTCTCTTACTTGGGGAGACATGTTATTTCAGTTGAAACACTTACCTTCTGTTTCTGTTGTGGTAAAGAATCCTCATGTCGAAACCTTTGCTTCTCTGAGCAACTTTATATCCAATGTTTCCCATTCCAATGATCCCTAAAGTTGACCCTGTGACCTCAACTCCCAAAAGGCTTTGAGGCACATGGGTGGTTTTAGGATCGACTGATATTAGGTGGCCTAAAAGGACAAGGGAGACAAGCACTAAGGAGAGGGTAACAGAAAATTTTGGTCAGAATTTTACACCCACATACAATTGAGGCAAATCCCTGTTAAATTTGGGGCTTCTAATCAATTTAGTCAAACTAATCAGTCTGGACAGGTGTTTCTCTTTAGCTCCACCTTTCTCATACCTGATTCAGAATAGTTAGGCCATCCGACTAAGTTTTTGCTGCTATACAGTATCTTTAGGCTGCTGGAGGACCTAGCAACCATTTTGCTCATTCTGCTTTACTCTATCTCTATTCTGCAGTATTTGTTAGCTTTACAGATAAATGTATGTTTCCTTAGCTTTATCGTTTAATAGTAGCTCCATCTGGACTGTTTCCTCTCTGACTGTGACACCATCCTGGATTGAAACATCTGCTGTGCAACTGCCATCAAAAATCTTACTGTGACTAACTGTATGTGCTCTCTTTCATCCTCTGACATGGGGATTTCACATGTCAGAGGACAGTTGGCTTTTTTATATATGCTTCATTTTGTATGTCTAAATCTATCTCCTTGAACCCACAGTCGCCCTTAGCAGCAGGCCGGTCACAGTGAGCCTGGTTTTGCTGGAGGTTTCCTTCTTGTTAAAGGGGAATTATTCCTCTCCACTGTCGCCGCATGTGAGCTCATTGTTAGAGATTGCTGAAGTCAACCACAAAATCCAAACCAATATCGTGGCCACCAACTCATCCAGGAGGAGGATGTCTTGCAAGTCAGTAACTCGATGCAATCAACTTTTAACCAATCCGACTGTATTGTCTCTGTTTTTTATTATCTTATCATAAATATGTATTTTTTTGTTATATAGACTGATGTTAAAACCAAAACTAGTCAATAAAAAAAGAATTAGCAATATTTAAAACTCTTGATGATCTAAGTATCCTTCTAGAACTGAAGTGAGCTATAAAGAAGCAAGTATAGTAACAGGTGAAAATATTTTTAAGGGGTTAGGGAATTTAAGATAATGTCACAGTTTTATCCCAATTGGTCTCACCCTCCACTACCATCCGTGCTGAAGCCAGAAGGAGAGCCATGGCCATATCTGCAGTGGCGTCGCTCACCACACCGGGAGTGTTGGCCACCTTCACACCGAGGCTGTTAAGGTATGACACATCTAAGTGATCAATACCCACACCTCCATTGGCGACCACCTTCAGCGAAGGCAGCCAGCTCAGCAGGGAAGGCTCGGCTGCAGGGCTGCAGTTCCACATAAGCAGGGCTTGGATTTTAGGGCCGTGCAGCATGGGTTTTTTTAAAAATTCCTTAAGGCAGATGATGTGGAAGTCCTTTTCAATAATGTCGATGACACTCTCTTGAAAACCTTCATCCCCCACCTCTGAGATCAGACCCCATGGTTTGTCTTCTGCCATCACCTGCTGGGATAAGAAAGTATTTAAAATTGTGATATGACCATGATGGTATTCAAACGTCTCCACAGCATGACGCTGCTACCACTTGGTTGAGAACTGGTCCAAGAGCTGACATTTAAACCATCTCTTTCAGGAAAATAGCTGGAAAACAAAATGCTGACTTTATGTTGAATGCAAACACAAAAAACAGAAGAAAAAAAAAAAAAAAAAAACAATTTAGCAAAGCTTCCTTCATATGAGGCCAGGTAACAAGCAGAGACAAGATAACTGATTCAGCGTTAAACACCATACTTCCTGGTAATCAGTTGACTACATCACCTGAGTCTGAATCTGGGATTTGTTTTGTTTTTCAGACTTTCGCTGAAAGGCAGCTGCAAACTGATGGTGCCTTACTACCAGAGCACTCTTGAGTGTTAAAAACGAGAGTGTGTCTCCAACAGTGGCCTTTACCTCCCAAGTGTTTATAAAAACAGGCAAACCAGGTTGAAGGCCAGCTTTGTTGTCCGGGCCCTCAGAACCCTAGTGCCAAGTAGTGTACATGAAATAAACTCCTTCAACCATTTGACTGTAGTTCCCTTTATTATAATCATATAACAAGACACTGTAAAGCAAAACAAATGACCTAATTTTACAATATAACTTGCTACTATTACTATACATACTACTTTAGTCAACAAACACCAAATGATTTTCTTGATTTATTTTCTATTTATTCATCTACTGTTTGTATCATTTTATACTGCACTTTTTCTTGCACATTTTCACCCTATGATGTAAATCCTTATCTCGTCATCTCCTTATTATAATATTGTATCAATTACTTGAAGTGTATTTATTTATTTTTTTGCTTTTTTTGCACATTGCATATTATCACTTTATTATAAATCTGTATATATATATATATATATATAAATTTCTTTTTTTTTTTTTTTACCTGGTATAGTATTTTTGATTCTGATCTACTGCATTTCCAAGTTCAAAGGCTTATTGATAATCACAAATGTAAACTTGAAATTTATCTAGACAAAAGAAAATATCTCTCTTTATTAAGGTGCTTGGAATATTTTTCCAATGCTAGCTCTGATAAAGACCAGCTTGAAATTCTATGAGGTAATATAAACTGAGGGTATCGGTACATTAAGATTTCTGTAGAGATGATCTAGAAACTGTGACACTTTTTTTTTTTTAATACTTCACTGTCAAGCATAGGTTTCAGGAGTTTAATGGGTTTATTATGATGCACTTTTTGAGGGAAAACATTTTACATGCAAGGGCGTATCCTGCCTCTCGCCCACTGACAGCTGGAGATAGGCACCAGCACCCCTTGCAAGCCTACTTGGGATTAAGTGTTAGAAAATGGATGGATCTTAAATAATCCCTCTTGCTAAATTTTATATAGAGAAATTTGAATTTTTTTATACCATTCTTCATGTTTTTAAGGATGCAATATTTCAATAAAATTGGGCTCAAAAAGACTCTGAAATATATCACATAATATTCATATATCTAATTATTGCATATATTTTCTTAATTTCCAACCCTGGTTGTTCATATGTTGGACTGTATTACTCATGCATTTGTTTGTTTGATACAAAGTCTTATTATTAGTGTTTTTTCAAAATAACGTGCATTAAAAAAACTAAATCGTAATGTTGGCATTATTAGAAAGGGCTAATGTATTTCATGCATATGCAGCTTTAGGCCTGGAGTGCTGAGCAACACTGACCTCCAACCAGACTCCCTTGAACTGACATAAGGAAAAACACAGCAGGGTGGAAAGCTGTAAACTCAGAACAAGTTTGTGACTTGCATGCATGAACAGATTTTTACAGTTTTAATAACAATAATAAGATAATCCTTAAATATAAAAGACTTTCTAGACATACACATAATTATATATAATGAAGCAACTAATTCTAAATAGTTATTAGTGTCACGATTTGGTTAAAAGGTTTAGATTGGACCCAAACGCAGAAGCTGGGAGGCAGAGGTGAATTCTTGGAGGGTTTATTGCAAGATAAGGCAACAAAAACAGGTATCCAAAAATCCAACTTAAAAAATGGTAAACAAAAACAGGAATCCAAAAATCCAACTTAAAAAATGTTTAACAAAAACAGGAATCCAAAAATCCAACATAAAAATCAAACACTAACCAGAACCATGGAGACATCAGGGAAAAACCAACAAGGAGCCAGGGTGAGGAAAGGTGAAGACGAGGAACCAGCAAAGAGGGACTGCAGAGGGAGTGTATTTATGGCTGACTGAACAAAGGTAGAGGTAATGAGCTGATAGGGAACAGGTGTGATTAGAGCTGACGAGGAAGCCAAGGGAAAACACAAGGAGGCAGCAGGGGACAGACAGAAAAACCTAAGCAACTTAAATTAATCCAGACACACCAAAAAAGCTAGAAATCAATGAAAAACCTGGCTAAACTTGAAACAGAAAGCTTAAAGAAAAACAACAGAACCAAGATCATTACAGAGCCCCCCACTCAAGGGCGGATTCCAGACGCCCCTTTAATGTCCAAAAAGCAAAAAAAAACAAAACAACCCAGGGTGGGCGGAGGGGGAACCAGGAAGGGGGGAAAGATGCCAAAAACAGTCCAAGAAACAAAACGCAACCCATCCAGAGTGGGCGAGGACAATCGAAAGTCTCTGAAAGGCCGGCCGCGGGGCCGGAGGCGAGGCAGAGTCTCTGGAGGGCGGCCGCGGGGCCGGAGGCGAGGCAGAGTCTCTGGAGGGCGGCCGCGGGGCCGGAGGCGAGGCAGAGTCTCTGGAGGCCGGCCGCGGGGCCGGAGGCGAGGCAGAGTCTCTGGAGGCCGGCCGCGGGGGCCGGAGGCGAGGCAGAGTCTCTGGAGGCCGGCCGCGGGGCCGGGGCTGAGAGAGACGCCCTGGAGGCCGGCCGCGGGGCCGGGGCTGAGAGAGACGCTCTGGAGGCCGGCGTCTCCAATGCAGCAGAAACCTAGGAGGAGGACGCCGCCTCCGCAGGATGCGCCGAGGAGGACGCCGCCTCCGCTTCTGTTGCTCTGCAACAGGCTCAGAGGGAGCCGTCGACTGCGGCTCTGGAACAGCCTCGGAAGGGGCCGCCCACTGCGGCTCTGGAACAGCCTCGGAAGGGGCCGCCCACTGCGGCTCTGGAACAGCCTCGGAAGGGGCCGCCCACTGCGGCTCTGGAACAGCCTCGGAAGGGGCCGCCCACTGCGGCTCTGGAACAGCCTCGGAAGGGGCCGCCCACTGCGGCTCAGGAACAGGTTCAGACGAGGCCGCCCACTGCGGCTCAGGAACAGGATCAGACGAGGCCGCCCACTGCGGCTCAGGAACAGGATCAGACGAGGCCGCCCACTGCGGCTCAGGAACAGGATCAGACGAGGCCGCCCACTGCGGCTCAGGAACAGGATCAGACGAGGCCGCCCACTGCGGCTCAGGAACAGGATCAGACGAGGCCGCCCACTGCGGCTCAGGAACAGGATCAGACGAGGCCGCCCACTGCGGCTCAGGAACAGGATCAGACGAGGCCGCCCACTGCGGCTCAGGAGCAGACCCAGAGGAGACCGCCGACCGCAGTTCCGGATCAGGTTCTGAGGGGGCCGCCGACTGTGGTTCAGGAACAGCCTCAGAGAGGGCTTGGAGTGCCCGCAGAGGGCTCTTGGAGGCTTGGAGCTCCCGCTGAGGGGCTCTTGGAGGCGTACTCCCACAAACCCCAAAGTCTGAAGCCTCTTTGAAAGTGTGCTCAGGGGTCTCCAGAGGGCACAGAGCGGGCTCAGGGGTCTCCAGAGGGCACAGAGCGGGCTCAGGGGTCTCCAGAGGGCACAGAGCGGGCTCAGGGGTCTCCAGAGGGCACAGAGCGGGCTCAGGGGTCTCCAGAGGGCACAGAGCGGGCTCAGGGGTCTCCAGAGGGCACAGAGCGGGCTCAGGGGTCTCCAGAGGGCACAGAGCGGGCTCAGGGGTCTCTGGAGCTAGGCTAACTAGCCTGCTAACGGCCTCTGGTGCTGGGCTAACTAGCCTGCTAACGGCCTCTGGTGCTGGGCTAACTAGCCTGCTAACGGCCTCTGGTGCTGGGCTAACTAGCCTGCTAACGGCCTCTGGTGCTGGGCTAACTAGCCTGCTAACGGCCTCTGGTGCTGGGCTAACTAGCCTGCTAACGGCCTCTGGTGCTGGGCTAGCTAGCCTGCTAACGGCCTCTGGTGCTGGGCTAGCTAGCCTGCTAACGGCCTCTGGTGCTAGGGAAACTGGACTGCTAGGAGCTGATGGAGATGGCAGAAAAGGGAAAAAGATCTTCCCTCTCCCCATAAAAGAAACCCCAGAGATCTGACTCTGGTATATGGGGAGCTCTGACTGTGGGGGGTGAAGTTATGAAAGCAGGTCTAAACCTACCAACCCGAGAAGCTAGCTGTTTGTCATGGAGGTGACGACTAAAGCCATAGGGGAAACTAACCAGGTTAAGAGAGGGACTGAAAAAGGAGTCAGGCTGACCCTCCGGAGAGGGAGAGGAGGAGTCAGGCTGACGCTCCGGAGAGGTGGTTGTCTTCCTCCCCCGGCGGCGTTGCTTGCGCCTGGAGGAAGCAGATGGCAGGGGAGGACCCACAGCTGGTAATGGTGGGGGAACAGGATCGGAGGTGAGAGACAGCAGAGTGGGAAGGTGATGGAGTGATGGTTTGGGTGGTGGAGGTCTATTGCAGAGTTGGGCGAAGGCGGCTTGGCGGTTCCACTCCAACTCCTCGAATAGCTCAGATAAAACTGGTGGTGATAGAAGTGAGGAGTTAGAGAGGAATACTGGCTTCAACAGGTCAGCCGCACTCACCCTCTTCCAAGGCGGACTGAGAGCGGCAATGGAGTCCAGAGCATTCCTGAGAATAATGGAAATTCTCCTGGGGGCGTCCGGGCCGTGTTCTGCTGGGTCCATTCTTGGCTGGTTCCTTCTGTCACGATTTGGTTAAAAGGTTTAGATTGGACCCAAACGCAGAAGCTGGGAGGCAGAGGTGAATTCTTGGAGGGTTTATTGCAAGATAAGGCAACAAAAACAGGTATCCAAAAATCCAACTTAAAAAAATGGTAAACAAAAACAGGAATCCAAAAATCCAACTTAAAAAATGTTTAACAAAAACAGGAATCCAAAAATCCAACATAAAAAACAAACACTAACCAGAACCATGGAGACATCAGGGAAAAACCAACAAGGAGCCAGGGTGAGGAAAGGTAAAGACGAGGAACCAGCAAAGAGGGACTGCAGAGGGAGTGTATTTATGGCTGACTGAACAAAGGTAGAGGTAATGAGCTGATAGGGAACAGGTGTGATTAGAGCTGACGAGGAAGCCAAGGGAAAAGAACACAAGGAGGCAGCAGGGGACAGACAGAAAAACCTAAGCAACTTAAATGAATCCAGACACACCAAAAAAGCTAGAAATCAATGAAAAACCTGGCTAAACTTGAAACAGAAAGCTTAAAGAAAAACAACAGAACCAAGATCATTACAATTAGTGCATGTATAATGCATAAGGATAGAAAAAACAGACTAAATAAAAATTAAAGCTCATCCTTCTTGTTGTTAGTTACAATAATAAGTGGAGACATATAGCTGAGTGCAAATGAGAAAACATAAACAAAAACTATTGGTAACAGAATAAATATACTCACAAGTGACTCTTTCTCTAACTTCCTGTTTTCCTTTCAACCAGGAAGAACTACTCAAGAGGTATTTAAAGGCCTTCAAAATAAGAGCTTTGAAATAAACTGGAAGCAGTGACTATGATAGCTTCTATTACCTCATTAATGTAACTTTTTATTGACCAATTATAAGACTGAAAGTTAATCTCATTATAAGATCTGAACACATTTCATTTATAAGGTCAAATGAAAGCTTTTATCTTTCATTTTTCCTTTGTTAACTCATCAAATCACAGTATATCAACAAAATGGGATTGATCAGTAAAGAAAAAGAATACCCTGGCCCCTAAACAGCTTTCTCCTTTTGGCTGTAATAACTTCTGCTTCATGCTTCCTATAGCCAGAGATGGCTAGAGTACCCATAATTGTAATTAAGAAAAAGTAGCACTATATTATTATATTTTAACTCAAGTAAAAGTAAAAAAGTAAAAAAGAAATTATTTAAGTAAGAGTAAAAAAGTATTTGTCAAAAAAGCTACTCAAGTACTGAGTGATGATCCACTTACTACACATCAACATAACTGATTTTACTAAATGGTTTAAAAATGAACAAAATGCTATGTGATATGCATATCATAATGTTTAAAATAATACGATAGAAATAAACATATAAAATACAGTAATTACACAAAGAAATATTCAGATGTGATGAACACCTTATTCTTTTTTTTTTTGTTATAAAGGTTAAAAAGTCAATAGGTAAATTATGTAGAATAGCAAAAACTACAGTATACTGTTTACTCTATTTTCATCCAACCTTCAAGTAAAACGGCAGATTCAGTAGATGGAAAATAACATTTATTGGTGCATATTAGTTTAAAACAAGCCTGTTTTCATTAAGTGAAGTTACTCACAATGGATGGAGTAGCCAGAAATGTTACTCAAGTAAGAGTAGTGGTACTTTAACATATTTTTACTCAAGTAAAAGTATAAAGTACAATGCTGAAAAACCTAAAAATTACTTTTTGTCCAAAAAGTTACTCAAGTAATTGTAATTGAGTAAATGTAACTAGTTACTGCCCAACTCTGCCTGTAACCAACTACCTGTTGGAAGGATTTATTTTGTGTACTGTCAGCAAAAATCTTTTTTGAATTAGTAATTCGAAGACTTTTCATGTCTTAACTATTAACCTGTCCAAGGTGGATTAATGTATATGTTATGTATCGACTTCAGATAAAAGCATCAATGAGCTTGCTAACCCTACAACAGGAAATCACCACAAGCCATGATGACTCTATGGCTCAGAGTTGATATAAAGTTCATCCCTGGAATAATTCCTTTAGTCTATGCTAAACATGTTGACTCTTCTTGTGTTTGAATATTTCTTGTGTTGGAATATTTAAATTCAACTGGACTTCATTAGTCCAGAGAAAATTATTCCTGAAATTCTGGTTTCTGTCTGCATTCCATCGAGCAACTTTAGTCTGACCTTGTTGTTTTACATAGATCAAAGGTTTCCTCCTTTCTCCCCTCCTATTAATATTCAACCTGTTAAATCTACTTTAGGTTTGTACAGGCATTCACTTAAAAAAATGTCTAGAGCCTGGAATAGGTCTGATGCTGATATTTGAAGGCGTTTTCTTTTAGACTTTAATGCTCTGCAAGTACATGCAATTAAATGAAAAAAGGTTACACTTGTTAGACCAACAGCAGATCTATTGCTACCTATTGCTAGACATCATCCTGATCAAATGACCTCCTGTTTTTCACCGGGGTGAAGAAAGCGGATAAATAAACCTCTAATTATTATCAAAGAACCTGAAACTGTGATAATCAAAATGCTGCATGTTTAAGTGAGATTTCTGCTGCAAAAAATTGAACTGAATGAAAAATACCTGTTTCTGTTGCAGTGTGTTCATAGATCGGTGTAGGTTTGTCACTTTAAGCGACCTGGATGTTGATGCCACAGTCCAGAGTTTTGTCATTCTCCAGACTTGGCGGAGACATTGCATTCTAATTGGCTAATATAAAAGAAATAAAACAATGATTTATATGTATAATTTAATGTAGTGTCATACAAAAAAAACTTAAACATGATAATTATGTGCAAAGGAAGAAATCCGGTTAAATCTGTAGTGCATAATAGTGTATAGATAAACAAAAAATTACAGAGCACATGTATTATTAAATACATGTGTGGATTATAAGAATAATCATCTCCTCTGGTGTGATTTCTATTTAAAATTTATAAGCATGTCCAAAAAGAAAGTACAAAAAATATATAACAATTTAGGAAGAGTCCGTGCTAAACTCACCTATTCACCCAGAGTTGCTCTTGGCTCTTTTGAGTTCTGACTGTGTAGAACAAACATGGATTACTTATAAGATCTCAGATAAAATGTAACCAGATTTTGAGGATGTCCAAGTTTTATCTTTAACCAGGTTGGAGGCAGCAGAGTGTACTATCTACTCCTTTTAAGAATAAAAAGAGAAAGAACCCATTAAACTCAGTGACCGAACTGATGAAGCAACAAGGTGGCTGGTGAACAAAAAAAAAAAAAAAGACTCTGATCAAAGGTCATGAGCTTATATGCTGTCTATAAAGAGACGTTACACATGCTTAATTATACCAGTACACTTATTTAAAGGTAATTCGTTTTAAATGTTTCCCTCTAGGTCGATTTGTTAAAAAAAGGATTTAATCAATTAATCACACAGAGAAAGTTAAAGCACACTGTGGCAGAGCAGTTACAGTAGCTTCGGTGAAACTGATGTTTTAAGGCCTCAAGTGTCAAAAAAAGGCAAAACATAAATACAGCGAGGAGAGGCTGGTAGAAATTTGGAGATTTGAACTTTATGAGACACTTTTGGCAGAAATTATAATTATAATCACATCCTGCATATCTGTTAAAAAAATAACTGTTGGATATTTAGCAACTATTGAACTGAGAAATAAAGGTGATAAAAGATCAGAAAAAATCAGCTAAATCAAAGCTGAAAATGTCTAACTTCCCACTAGGTGGCAATAAGACATTAACTTGAAAGCAGCACAACCCCTACCTTAGCCTTTTAATGAACTATCTTTGCTTCTATTTAAGATTTGTTGACTATATTTACAAGAGTGAACTTATCAGAAATAAATATAAAAAACAAAATGGAAGATACACCCATCTAGAAAATAAAACTAACTTTGGTTTAGATTTGCCATTAAGTCTTAGAAATGTAAACCCAAAAAGAATACTAAAAGAATTTAAACAATTAAATCTAGATATTTTTTATTTTTTTTAAAGGATGGAAGCACTTTTAGATGAAATATCAACAAGTGCGTGTTTAGCCTTATCAAATCATATCAATAAAACCTATGCTGTATCCTTAACAAAAGGATACAGCATAGATTGTTTAGCCTTATCAAATCATATCAATAAAACCTATGCTGTATCCTTAACAAAAGGATACAGCATAGATTTGCTTTATGGTTTATGCCCCATTAACGGCAGAAGGAACCTTCTGCAAGATGTTGCCTATGTTCAGTGTATTGTGTGTAATAATATGACTGAGGAGTCAATTCTAATGTGACTCCCTGAGTGTGCTTGCATGTGTTGGAGCATTAGGTAAGGCCATGTGTGCTGATCGTTGGCTTACCTGCATTTAACTGTTGTATAATCCCTCCACCTCCCTGTTCCTCTTAACCCATCTTCATCTTTTCCCCTCCCATCCCACTCTTCTCTGGTTCCTCCTTCCTCCAACTCACCTGCCATAACCTTCTGTTTCAGCTCTTTAAGTATCTCCAGTGGCTCCCTGCCTCGAGATGTGCTGCCCCGTGACGGAGGCTGTAAACTTGAATTGGCCAGAAGTCATTTAGACCTTCATTAAGCCATTTCTCCATCTGCTGCAGCCTGCAGCAGCAGGGGATGTTTAAGCAAAGAGCTGACTCATCCAGTACACGCACCACCTATATCTCTATTTTACTGCACTCTGTTTTGAAATCATGCAGAGATTTAATGAACAACAAATTGTAATAGCAAATATTTTAAGGAAAACAAATAAATACCAACTTTTTTGCTGTCTATCAAAAGAAACACTCAAGTACCTGTAAAATTAGACTGCTACTTATATTTTAGAATCAAAAGTTTCCTGTCTGCAGCTTTCAAAACTTATGCTTGGATGGGATAGTTCTCATAGTACCGACCCTGACAGTATTTGAATAAACTCTGTAATAAGCTGCTGATGTATGTGAGTCTAAAGACCCATCCTAACTCAGCTTAACTTAAACCACAAAGCCTACCATATGAGCAGATAAATAAGAAACAATAAAACAAAAGTAAAATCCTTTTTATATTCATTCTGTGGTGTTTGCTTCTTAACTAAACATAGTTTGTTCTCAGTTTCAGAAGTTAAAGCACTGCGCTTATCAAAGACACTATAGCCCCTTTTTGTCTTGTTGATATTTTTAAAGCTGAGTATTTCAGTGATTAGGTTTTATATTTTGGGTTCTGTGCATCAAAAGTTGTGATGAAACACATTCTGTTTTAAATTTAAGCGATCACAATCTTTAACGTGCAAAAGTGCATCAAATTGTAGTTATAAATATAAAAAAATTATACAAAACTACCTGCTTATGTCAGTGAAATGCATTCATTTCACTGTGACAATCATTTTCAAGGTCTGGTTCTGTGTTAATAAGTATTTTGTTCATTGTAACTAAACAGGGACTAAAACTGTCCCCATTTCAACAATCAGAACTTATATGAAGCTTAGAAACACAAAATATCCATTATTACCTCCTAGCCAATGGGCTTCAATATCTAATCAAATCCACTAAACACAACACCTTCATCCACTGCTGGGCATCATATAATTTTATTGCAAACATACATTAATCAAATATCTACCATTCATCAGTTAGATAACCAGACATCATAGCTGTTTTGCAGTTTTAAACAGCGGGTTGAAGGTTGCTTACAAAGTTAACATTAGATAGGGGGTTGAAGTGCTGATGACAAAGATTTAAGCTGTTAAGCTTAAAGGGTTTATGTTCTAATTTCTGCTTGAAAAATTACAACAAATTAAATCAACAGTAACAGGTCTTAATGAAGATTTCTGGAACAGGTCTATAGGTAACACTTAAAAGCATGTTTGTTCTAGTTTATGCAATATTGCAGATATAACTACTAGGGATGCACGATATTGGGATTTTGGCCGATATCCGATATGCCGATATTTTAAAACTCATGTAGCCGATAACCGATATCGATACTGATGTTAAAGCGGGACAAAAATAGGTAGTCATTGAAAATAGCAGTTTTGTTATCCATTTCTGACACTTTGAAAAATAATATACTCAAATATATTTTCATATGCTGATATCAAATTGATTTTTAGAAACGCGGTATCGATCTATTTTACTTTCAAAATCTCATGAAATTTCATCGTTCTGTTACAAACTCTCGTGATATTTTGCAAATTCTTGTGAGATTTTGTTAGTAAAATTGATCGACACCGCATCAATATCTCAACATATAAAAAAAATGGCAAAATTTCATGAATTTTCGGGGGATTTCGTAGCATAACGATGACATATAGCAATATTTAATTAGTAAAAGAGATTGATATGGTGTTTTTAAAGCATATGAAGATATTGTAATATTTTAATGTATCAATATTTTTTCCCTCGTTTTTTTGAAGTTTTTAAGTCTGTAAAAAAGAAGTTTTTGAGGAAGAAGAAGAAGTAGTTTATCTTTTTTTTTGGACTTTAGAAACTCAGAAGCTGATCAAATATCGGGTTAAATATTGGTGGGGTGGCCGATGTCCGATATTCAGTTTTAAGGCCGATACAGGCCGATACCGATAGGGGGCGATTATATCGTGCATCCCTAATAACTACCGACTTATTTGTGATTAAAAAAAAAGTAAATCTTTTTTTTTTATATGCAGAAAGGTTTTATGACTCCTTAGCAGTAGCTCTGAGCTGAAAACCTCTGGACTGGCAGAATCAGATATTTGCACACTCTGTTCACTCAACACCGCTGATGTCTGCTTGCAAACATCCTGCCTCTGCCTACTAATACAAAAGAAAGAAATAACCATGAAATATTGCAATTCCTTACTCACAATATCCAACTATCCCCTTCGTCTATTTACTTGGCAAACTAGAAAAACTTAAACAGAAAATCAAAACTAATCCCAATACCTTTTCTCCTAGCCTTTGACTTCCACCAAAAAACACCATTACTTAAGTTAAAAAGTATAAAAAAAATGGCTAGACTTTCTCATACAACAGATTTTAATAGAACAACAATCAGTAGAAATTGTCAGGTTGTGTGGAGGTTTGAAGATAACCCTAATACAGAGAAGGAAGCTGAAGTGGTTACTTGCAGATTTGATAATCCAAAAGGTGGCAACTGAGGCAAAAATCCAAAAATAACAAAATACAGCAAACCCCCCGTCTCCCAAAAAACCACAAGAGACATCAGGGAAAACACACATGAGGACCAAGAAACATTGAGAAACCAGCAAACAGTGACTGACTGACAGAACAAAGACTGGGGTAATGAACTGATTGGGGGCAGGTGTATAATACTTGAAACTTGCCCATAAATACCTATAAAATATGTGACCTGTCTCAAATTATTCTAGCCTCTCAAAACTCATCATTTTAAAGAGTTTAAGTCTAATAACTCATAATGCATGAACATTACAACAGTAAAATGTTTACCATATACCATATAGACATGTTAGACATTGTTGGAAAGCTAAGATTCTCCACAATTCAACCACCAAGTTCATTTTATGGACATAGCGAGCACCAAAGCACAATTAACACAGATATAACAGAATGTCAAAATGTAAACATGGCAAAGCAGCCACAACAAGCAAGCATGTCTTTATTACTGCTGTCCCAAAAAAAAGGCCTATTATCTTCGAGAGTAAAAAAAAAAACAACTTTGAGTCTGTCATAGTCTTGCTTCTGTTGTGTTTTCTTTTGAGTATTCAGTTTTACTTTGTTCCATGTTTTCTAGTTTTAGTGTTTTAATTCTTATTTTGTTGTGTTTTCTGGTTATTTTCAGTTTCCAGGTTTTTAGTTGTTGCCCTCCGCTGCCCTCTTGTGTTCTCCTTTTTCCCTAGCTCATTTCCTGTTTCTGCTCTGTTCACACCTGCTCCCAATCTGCTCGTTAGTCCTCTCTTTGTTTCAGTCTCCCATTAATACTTTCTCTGTTCAGTTCTTCAGTGCTGGTTCCTCATCTAACTTCCTCCAACTCCGTCTCTCTGGGCCGGATCTATCAAAGGTTTGCGTGTATAAAAACGTGAGCTATTTCACTGCGCACGCTAAAAAATGTACAAACTGATCTATCAACAGCGTGCTAAAAAGATTTGGTCTTTAAAACGTGCTAAATAGCGCCTCTTATCCGTTTAGTACTTTTTCTGCAATGAATATGCAATATGGGGCGTTTACACACAAAAGTGCGTCTTGTGGGAGGAGAACATGTAAATATAATAATTTAGCACTCGCAAAGTGATTTATTAAA